GAAACATCATAATTGATGCATATAATTACAAAGCTGAAAGGATTACGAAAGAATCGGACGACATGTAAAATCAGTATATTCGCATTTATATTAACATCCAAATAAAAAAATTACGATCGAAATGTAGCATGAGACATTATGCATTTATATGTATAAAATATGCTAAACATTTATGTGTTTTATATTAGTACATATACCATATATAGAACATAGACTTGGTGATTTGGGTTAGCTAACACGTCAAATTTCTAACTTGAAATGAAATATCTAATAATAGCATTTTCATATTAGCTAGAAATCACTTATTATTTATCAATTATTAGTTCGCCTGAATCAACTAAAAGTTCGTAACCGTAACACTTAGAGCGTATTTGTATAAAAATATATCCGCTCAAAATGAGTTTTTTTTTTTTTTAATCAGAATTAATTTTCAAAAAGTGGTATGATTAGTAGTGAGAATTTGATTTTATATTAAAATAATATATGAAATAAAATAATTAAAGTTGATTCGGTGTAAAAGTAAGAGAGATGTGATGTGAAGTAATATTTAGTTAAAATTATGTGAGTTGATAAATAGTAAATTAAAATTGATCTGATGTGTAGAAATGATTGGTCGATATTATTTATTTATAGTGATATATTAAGAAAAATAATAATGTTGGTTAAAGTTTGGTTAAATTTTGAATATAAATTCAATATGAATTGAATATTTTTATATACAAACACACTCTTACTTTGCAATAATTAATATTATAAATTAATTGTATAATATTAGAGTAATTTATAAGCTCACGCCTTATTCGACGTGACATTAAATATGAAAAATCTAGGCAACTTTCCAAATTAAGAACATTCATCATTTTAGAAATGGGATGTGACGTTGAGATGCAAATAAATCATTGACTAAAAATCAGTGGATGAATTGATGATGATGAATATGATTGGTGCGCAACTTGATCAAGTGCTAATGCTTGCAAATAGATAATTGTTAAGGTCGGATATTTTGCCCAATGTCATCATCAACTATGATTAAATTTCTTAATCTTTTTGGCATATAATTGATTAACGTTATTATCCACTCCAAGTCATTGTTTTTCAACCCGGAATGGCCCGACGAGTCGTCTTGGGATCCAGCCGACTCGGAGCTGGAACCGATTCGAGTGGACTATTTAGACTGGGTAACAATAGACCCGGTCAATCAGCAAACATGGAACGTATAATGTACATATTTGATCCACTAGGTAACATTAATTATCTGAAGATAATAATCATAAAATCATAAAATCAATCTTGAACAAATATGAACTACAGGTCTACTACAACTACACTATTCAGTTCTCTCAACATTGAGTTAATAATTAATCTAGAAATACCAACCGTCCTGTATTACATGTCTTTAGCTATCTATAGCTATATATTGTACCTTAAATTACTACACCTACATTATCAACTGAAAAATACTTGATCATGAGCCTAGTTAGTTACTTAATTTGTACTAGAAACCTAGGCAGCCCGATTTTGTGTCCGAATACCTTAACATCTTCTTGGACCTGCTTTCTGTACTCGCCGAAGCTAAAGCTTCTATAGACGCGAGGCTCGATTTCGCTCTGGATAAGAGTGTCGTAAGATGGGCAAAAGAAGTACGCTGTGGAGAATCTCTCGTGTAACGGGTTTGCCACGACACGATGCTCGACACTTTTGTACACATTGTTGCTCCATGCCTGAAAATCATCATTAATTTAATGTGCAATCACAACAAATGAAAATAATAATAATAATAATAAAAAACAATAATAATGTACCTGAAACAAATCTCCAATATTGATGATTAAGGCATCTTGATTAGGTTTAACGGCAAACCATTTTTTGTCTTTGACTAACTGCAGACCTCCAACGTGGTCTTGATGCAGTACAGTGATGAAGTCACTGTCTGTGT